AGGTTTTGCTTGTCTGGAAAACTCTTTATCTCTCTTTCATTCTGTGTGATAACCTTGCCAGGTAGAGTATTTTTGCTTGTAGGTTTTTTTCCTTTCAACACTTCAAATATATTGTGCTACTCACTTCTAGCCTGTAAAGTTTCTGCTGAAAAGTCAGCTAATAGCCTTATGGGGTTTCCTTTGTATGTAACTTGTTGCTTTTCTCTTGCAGCTTTTAAGATTCTCTCTTTATCTTTAATTCTTGACATTTTAGTTATAATGTGTCTTAGTATGGGCTCATCTTGTTTCATCTTTGAGTTTATGTTATTTGGTACTCTCTGTGCTTCCTGTACCTGGATGTCTGTTTCCTTCCTCAGGTTAGGGAAATTTTCAGCTATTATTTCTTCAAATAAGTTCTTTGCCCCTTTGTCTCTGTGTTTTCCTTCTGGGACACCTATAATGCTAATGTTAGTACACTTAATGTTGTCCCAGAGGTCCCTTAAGCTGTTCTTGTTCTATGTAATTCTTTTTTCTTTTTTCTGTTCAAGTTGGGTGATTTCCTCTACTCTGTTGTCCAGATCACTGATCCGTTCTTCTGTGTTATCTACTCTGCTGTTGATTCCCTCTAGAGAATTTTTCATTTCAGTTATTTATTCTTCAGCTCTGATTGGTTCTTTTTTTATATTTTCTAATTCTTTGTTGAAGTTCTCACTGTGTTCATCTATTCTTCTCCTGAGTTCAGTAAGCATCTTTATGACCATTAGTTTGTACTCTTTATCAGGTAGATTGTTTATCTCTGTTTTGTTTAGTTCTTTTTCTGAGGATTTGTCCTTTTCTTTTATTTGGAACACATTCCTTTGTCTACTCTTTTTACCTACTCCTCTGTGCTTATCTCTGTGTATTACATAGATCAGCTATGTCTTCCAATCTTGGAAATGTGGTTTTATGTAGGAGATGTCTTATGGGGCCCAGCAACGTGCTCCCCTCTTGTAATCTCTCCCAAATGCTCCAGGGGTGTCCCCTCTGTGGGCTGTGTGTGCCCTTCTATTATGACAGGCTGCTATTGCTGTGAGCATGCAGGTAGGCTGGGCTGGCCCTCAGTGCAGTTGGGTTTGTGGCCCAGTGGCATGGCTGTCGTTAGCTGCTCTTGGGTGGGGCAGGCCTCAGGCACAGATGCTATGTGGCCAGGTGGTGCACAACTTCCTCAGATGTGCTAGTGGGTGGGGCACTAGTGGGCAGGGCAGACCCCCTCCCTCTGCTTGAGCAGCCTGTGCTACCTGGCTGTGCACTATTGCCTTGGGTGCTCTAGTGGCCAGGTCAGATCCCTGTGCTAGCAGACTAGAGGAAGAATTCTAGATGGCATCTGCCAGCATCTGTATCAGCACGGCTGACCTAGGTCACAATAATGGCTGCTGCCAGTATCTCAGTCCCTGGGGGTGGGTGGCCAAGCCACCTCCTGCCTCTCCAAGATGCTCTCCGAGCTTAGTAAGTGAATCTTTTTTACCAGTAGACTATGTACTTTTCTATCTGGTGTTTTTCTGCTAGTTTCTGGTCAAGTGAGTCTGTGCCTGGGCCCTTTAAGAGCAGGTTTTCCTTTCCCTGAAGTTCTGTAGTTTTCCTGGATGTACTCCTCATTGGTTTTCAAAGCCAGATGTTTTGGGGTCTCATCTCTTTTGTACTGAATCTAAGGTTAGGGTGCCAACTGTGTATCTCAAATCCCCCACTCCTCTGGGAAAAGCTCTATGTCTTTGAGATTGCTTCTGACTATGAAGTGACGCAGCTAGGGTGTGGTTTTTTCCTCAGTAGGACTGTATCCCTGCCTCTTCGACCCCTTTCTGTGTTTTTCCTTATTGTAGAGGTTCTTTTCACCTAGTTTCCAGATTTCTGTCAGAGGAATTTTTGCTCAGGTAGTTGTAGATTTTGTATCCATGGGAGGAGATGAGCTCAGGATTCTCCCATGCCACCATCTTCCAAAAAAACTTCTGAGACAATTTTTATAAAAATCAAGATACAACTTCACTTTGGTCGGTCTGAGTCATCAGAGAGAAGTGTATGATGAGTATCTCAGTCTAGAGGATGGAGAGTTTGAGTAACGTGAGATCCTGGCAGAAATTAAGCAGATTAATGCAGTTCATCTTCCTTTTCATACACAGTTCTGGTCGGTTTGCAAACCTTACACTTTTTGCAACATATATGATATTAAGTTCTTTTGAGTGGCAAGTTTACCTCTTAATAAATCATTTCTAAAGCAAGATGTGAAGCTCTGAATATAAGAGTAATATCCATTTTTCCTCACCCTAGGTCTGAGCCAGGCTCTGGTCACATTAGTTGACAAGCTAAGACATTTCTTCATTAGCTCTGACTAATTTCTGAAATGGTTGTACATGTGTTATAATAGACAGGGCATTCTACATGCAAAGCAGACACACTGACATCTACATTTTTGGTTTAGGGAATCATCTGGACAAAAATATTTCTTTCCTACAAAATAAGGCTTTCCTCTATTGATTGAATTAATGACTTTTCCGACTGCCTCTAGCTTTTAAAATGTATTCTCTTTCTTATACTTGCTGACTTCTATCTGTATCTCCGTGGAGTACAGGAGTCAGAGCAGCCGCACCCGGTTTGCCACCAGCATGACATAAACACTGTCATCTGGAAGGGTAATTTATGGCTGAAGAGAGGGTTGGGCGAGGAAGAAAAGGGAGACGAGTAGAACTAGCTAATGAGGTTGGTGGTGGAGGAGGAGGCCTCTTGGAGGGTGCTCAAGGGAAATTAGTGGAACTGCAGGGTTGAGGGAGGGCAGCAGGATGGCGGCCAAGACTGGCAAATGGCAGACAGAGAAGCCAGTAACACACAGATAGCCCAAGTAAACCATGCCGGAAATGGGAGGATTTGGGGAAAGTGAGAGAGGAGAAAAGAGAGAAGACTGTCAAGTTACCAACTTCTAATTATAATAAGAACTCTGGAATAGGAACAGAGAAAGGGTACAGCTTTTCTTTCCTGGTATACTGGGCTGTGTGGGGGCTCAGTCTCTGATTCTCTCTGCCCTTATTTCTTTCTGTCTTTCTTTTCTTTCTTCCTTTTCTCTCTCTTCCCATCTACCCCCTCTCTGCTCCTTTATTCTTGTCTGTTGAAGAGTTACTTGATGTCATCACAGCTCCAAACCATCAATTTGTCAATACAGGAAATTGTAATTATTTTTAATAAAGGAGAAAGGGAAAGGGAATGTGCCTAATGTCCAGGGAGAACCAGGCAACTGTCCAAAAAACATTGTGTCTCCAGGAAAGCAGCAGAAGGAATATCCCTCTGATCACATCTGACATCACTTCATGGAATTTGGATGATTTCTTGAGGCTGAGAACTATTTTTCCAAGATATTATAAATCAATAAGAAAAAGTATTTTTAAATCCCTTTTCTCCCAAGCATCTTTGGTTCTAAAGCAAAATCTTTTTTTTTTTTTTTTTTTTTTACTTGTATTCCCCTTTTTGGTTCTGTTCCAAAGAACACAAAAACAATCTTCTATGGGATCTCTATTTCTTGGGTACTCTGTGCCAGTATATCCTACAATGTGGATTGAATAGATGGCATCCACAGTGTGATTGGGAGGCAGAGCAAGCAAGAGAAGAAAGGTCATGCTGTCCTAACATGAGCTTCTGGGTTGGGAGATTTGTGTCCACAGCTTGTCTACCAGAATAGCAACAATGCAGCATGATCTATGAAAGAAATTTCCAATTTATGTTGAGGAAGCTGTCTGCCCAGTTGAAGCCGTGTTAGGAACAGTCCCCTCTTTGGAGTGGCAGACCATGGCCACTATGAAAAGCATCCAGTGAATCCAAGGGGCCACTGAGCTCTGGTTTAGTTGTTCCTTCTTAAAATAGCTCTTCAGTGAGAACGGTGAGGCTCTGATGCTCAAGGTAAAGTTTTAAGTTTCAGTGATGCCAGAAAGATGAAGGCTTTGACTATATATGAACTTATAAAGAGACCAAATCTTGTTTCTTTTTTTTTTTTTATCAGCCACAGGGCATGTGTTTTTAATAGACCTTTAATTCTGTGCATAAGTGCACACATAATATTGCCTAGTGCTTTGAAGGCCATCAATAAAGCTACTTGGTGGGTATCGTAAGGTAGTTGGAGTAGGGGTAGTGTTTCTATGGATTGATGGACTAGCAAGAAAAATATGTATACAGTTAACATTCTTTGCAGTAGCTTTATGATATCCTCTTCTACCTATAACTCATCCCTTTCCCTCTTTTACTTTGTTTCCTAACCACTATTTCCCTTTTTGTTAAAAAAAAAAAAAAAGGCTTGAAGCAAGCATATATTGAAACAGAGATTCAGTTGGTCTTCTTTTTTTTTTTTTTTGTGAGGAAGATCATCCCTGAGCTAACATCCAGGCCAATCCTCCTCTTTTTGCTGAGGAAGACTGGCCCTGAGCTAACATCCATGCCCATCTTCCTCCACTTTATATGGGAGGCCGCCACAGCATGGCCTGACAAGCAGTGCATCGGTGCGCCCTGGGGATCCGAACCCAGGCCACCAGCAGCGGAGCGCGAGCACTTAACCGCTACACCATGGGGCCACCCCCTCAATTGGTCTTCTTATCATAATAACGATCATGCAGTGTGGTGGAAAGAACCAGGGCCGGAGCGTTGGAAGGCTTTCTTCACCATGGCCTGGGGGTAATTCTCAGGGCAAAGAATTAGGAGTATCATTGACTTTATCTTGAAGAAATAATCTAGGTGTAGAGTGGGGGATTGAGTATGGGATGTCAAATACTGAGTATTCATATAAATATTATAGTGCTAAAAGGGCAGGATATTATTTATCTTGGAATAAGTATCTCAAATGTGTATTTGTGCCTTTTTTGTCATCTTCATGGCAGCCTGGTCTCTGCCTGTCTGCCCCTCTCCAGTGCAGTGCTGGCTGGGAGTGTCAGTCTGATTGGGTCTGGTCTGTTATTCTCTATGTATTGATCCTTTGGTGTGACATTTTCTCCTCTTGCCTGCTCTCCAGGGCATATATGAGTGTGAAGGAGCTGAAGGAGGCACTGCAGCTCAACAGTACTCACTTCCTCAATGTCTACTTTGCCAGCTCAGTGCGGGAAGACCTTGCAGGTGCTGCCACCTGGCCTTGGGACAAGGAAGCCATCAGTCACCTGGGTAAGTGAAGTGAAGACCAAATATGGTAGGAAAATGAGGAGGCCCAAAGGGAGTCTGTGAAAGTGAGTTTGGGGAAGAAAGAAAGAAAGAGAAAAATAAATTTACTCAATAAATTAGCTGCTTTGGGCTGAGAATGGCTTTTGGGAGAATCCGTCAAAATGTTTCAGTGCAGACAAGTAGGAGGTATTAGAACAAACAGTGGCAATACCCAGGATGTTCTAGACCAAGTCTATAATCTAGATGTAAGTAAACTGCTGACGTGGAATAAGATCCATTTTATGTCTTGGAGAGCCTCAAGGAGGAAACTAGCAAGAAGGTGGCTAGACTGTGAAACCTGGTTTGCAGTAATCACTGTGGGCTTCTTGCATGGATTGGGCTCCTGAGGAGATCCTAGGAAATCCAGGCAGGTGGGGCTTGCTTGCTTACCTAGGAAAAGAGTGACATCTAAGTACTGAATGGAGCTACTGCATAATTAAGAAAGATAATTCCTTTATAATGTCTTATCATTATTATAGAGGAAATCTTATTGACCAGTCAATGAGAATTATTAAACCAGTTAATGGAGATAAAGATTAATTATTCAATATAATTTGTCTATACTTTCAAAGAGTCTTGGGTAGGATTCTACCAAAACTTATTTTAAAATTGAATTACCGTAATTGGGAGGAATCTTTCATGTTGGAAAGAGAATGATTATAGAGACCAGAAACCATTTTATAAATGATTTAAAAGAGGTTATGCAAAGTTATTCTTCTTAGTAATTAAATATGAAGCAGACAGGAATAAATTGAAGGAAGATTACACAATGCTATATATGTCAAACCCAAGTATGATGGGGTCATTGTGAAGTTGAGTCCACAACATAATGAATTGATAATCAAAGAAAATATGAGCAAGTGTCCAAAGGACAGCTAGTATTGTGGACTGGGGAAGGAGGAAGATGAGCAGTAGATGAGTAGTATCTATTGGCAATAGATAAAAAAAGTATTGTTGCTGTTCAAAAGGAAACCAGAACGTGAAAATCCCTGGAGTAAATCAGGTCAGCATCCAGAAGGGGTATATATCTCAAGCAAAGGAGGAGACAATAAAAAATTAAACATGTGGTGGTGTTTAATAAAAAATTAAACATCTACAGCATCTGATGCAGTTTTAGGGCTCTGCAGTCCTTTTATCACTAAACTTTGTATTTCTTTTTCTCAGTGCATGAGAAGTCAGGAATTTGTGAGGTTAGTAGTGCTTTCCAGATGAAAGCTAATGTGAGTCATTCTAGCCTTCATGGTAACAGTGGGTGGGTTAGAAGGTCATATTCCAGTAATCCATTTAATAGTGAGTTTGAGTGTCCTGAATTATCCTCATCAAAAGGAATGGTAACAGAGGAACGTATAACATTGTAAGAAAGTATCTCCAAATTGGTGCCCATCTGAATCACCAAGGGTAACCTTTTTGTATGTGTGAGGGAGTCCTGACAGCAAGGTTTACCCGGCAGTGGTGTCCGTGAGTCCTAGGTCTGTCGTTGGGAACTGAGTCTACTTGTTTGACAAACCTTAAAAAATGATCTGCCTGGCCATTATTGAGGCAAGTCTTGACCTCTTGATAAGAAGTGTTGGTTTGGGAGCAGACCACTGAATGTTTTCTAACTTTATTGGAGCTGGGCCATTGACAAGATTCATTTATAAAAAATGGATAAAATACCAAAAAATTTAGCTATTTGAAGACATCAGACAGCAGCCAAAACAACAAGGATTTGAGGGGCCCAATCCCCTCATTGGGGATGGAAGTGAGCTCTATATATAACTCAGTTTATTTTTCCTTTCAGGGAAATTGCCAGATTTTCAGTGAAAGGAATAGAGGCAGAGCAGAGAGCAGCGGCCTAGAGCTAGCTTCATTCTCACTACTGGGGAGAAAAAAATTAGAGGTCAGGCCTTCCAAGACATCTAAAACTTGAGGGACCAAGCTCCCAGAGAAATAGAAATTGCAAAAAATGAGCTTGATATTCTGCTCATAATTTTCTTTTAGGATATTTGCTAATTACTAAACTATGCATTCTCAGTGCTAGTGACCAAGAAAACAAGTATGAATAACTGCTAAGAGATTAAAAAGCTAAATAGTGATTTCAGGAGTCTCAGAAGGGAGAAAAAATTGGAGTCAAGGAGGAGGACCTCTAAGACACCCTATGTGTGAGGGCCCAGAAATAGCCTGGCTTACACAAGCCTAAAATACAGCCTGAAACACTCTTAAATCCCTGTTTGGAGGAAAGGCATCTGCCTATATTTTACTCCTTAACAAAAGAAAATTAAATACGCTCTGGAGGAAGACAGCATCATCAAGAGCCTCTACAAGTTTTCATGTACAATGTCCAGCAATCAATAAAGAATTACCAGGTATGCCAAGAGACGGCCAAATGACTAAACAAAGAAACACTCAATCAATAAACACAGACCTGCAGATTATCCAGATATTGGAGTTACTGGATGTTGGCTTTAAGATAATTATGATTAATATGTTCTAAAATAGGTAAAAAGATGGAGAGTGTCTTCAGAGAACTGGAATCTATAGTAATGAATCAAATGGAAATTTTAGAACAAAAAAAAATAACTGAAATTAAGAAATTAATAGATGAGTTTATGAGCAGGAGAAAGAATTAAAGAACTAGGAAATTGTAGAAAACATACGTATTGAAGCTGAGAGAGAAAAAGTGATAGAAAAATGTAGAAAATAACTTGAGACATTTGAGACCTGATGAAAAATTTCTAATGTAAATTGGAGTTCTAGAGGAGAACAAAGATATTGGGGCAGAAACAATATCAAAGAGATAATGGCTGAGAATTTTGCAAAGTGACAAAAATATCAAACCACAGATTCAAGATGTTTTACAAACCCCAAGAAGGATAAATAGAAAGAAAATCACAGCTAGGTCCATTATAGCAAAAGTGCTGAAAACCAAAAACAAAGAGAAAAACCTCAAAAGTAGCCAGAGAAACAAGATACATAACTTTAAAAGGAGCAACAAGACTGATATACTGATTTTTCAAGAGACACTGTGGAAGTCATAAGACAAGAGATTGATATCATTTTTAAAATGCTAGAAGGAAATAATTGTCAATTTACTGTACTTTATTTAGCAAAAATACCTTTTAAAATGAAGAAAAATTAAAGATATTTTTAGACAAATAAAAACAAATAATTTAATACCAACAATAAAATAAATACTAAAGAAAGCTATGCAGGCAGAAAAAAAATTGAGACCAGGGGCCAGTCCCGTGGCATAGCGGTTAAATGCGCGCGCTCCGCTGCTGGCGGCCCGGGTTCAGATCCCAGGCGCGCACCGATGCACTGCTTGTTAGGCCATGCTCTGGCGGCCTCCCACATAAAGTGGAGAAAGATGGGCATAGATGTTAGCTCAGGGCTGATGTTCCTCACAAAAAAAAAAAAAAATTGAGTCCAGATGGAAGCAGAGACAAGCAAAAGGAAATGAATGACACTAGAAAGAATAAAAATATTAAAAGTAATAACAATAATGTCTTTTTGGTTTAAATATGTAGAATTAAACTATGACAACTATAGCACAAAAGACAGGAAGAAAGCAAATGAAATTAAAGAATTTAAGGCCTCTTCTTTACCTGTATCTAGAAAAAGTATTGATTTTAGTAATTTTAGACAGTAATAAGTAAAAATGCGTGTTGTAATCTTTAGGGCAACAATTAAAAGACAAATTATTTCTGACTGACAATCTAATAGAGCAGGAAATGAAATGATCCAGAGAATCAACAAAGGAAGAGAAAATAGGAATAAATAACAGATGGAACAAATAGAAACAAAAAGTAAGATATTGATTCAGACCTAAGATACTGGTAATTACATTAAACACAAAGGGACTAAACATGTCAATTTAACACCAAAAATTGTCAGACTGAAAATAAAACCCAACCATATGGTGCTTGTAAGAGACACATATTAAATATGAGAACATAAAAAGACTGAAAGTATAAGTATATATACAATGCCATACTAATCCAAAGAAAGTCAGTGTGGCTTTCTTATATCAGATAAAGTAAACTTAAAGGTAGTACATATACCAGAAATAAATAGGAATGTTTTATAATGATAAAAAGTAAAATTTAATTGGAAAATGTAATCATGATAAATTTGTATATACCCAATAGTATGCCCTGAAAAGATGTAAAGCGAAATTTAGAAAAAGAAAAAAAAATAGACAAATCCACAGTTATAGTTGGTGTTTTGTTTTGTTTTTCTTTTTTGGTGAGGAAGACAGGCCCTGAGCTAACATCCCTTGCCAATCTTCCTGTTTTTGCTGAGGAAGATTAGCCCTGAGCTAACATCAGTGCCCGTATTCCTCTATTTTGTGTATGGGATGCCTCCACAGGATGGCTTGATGAGCAGTGCATAGGTCCGCCCCTGGGATTCAAACCAACCCTGGGCAGCCGAAGCGGAGCCTGCGAACTTAACCACTACGCCACTGGGCCAGCCCCTATTTGGTGTTTTAAAAACAATTTTCTCAGAAAATAATAGGATAAGCAAACAAATATTTAGTAGAGATATAGAAGATTTGAAAAACATGATTAATAAACTTGACTTAATGAGTAAAATTAGAACAGTATACTTAAACAGTGAAGAATATACATTCTTCTCACATGTCATGGAAAATATACCAAAAAGTTCTTGAACAAAAAGTAAATTTCAAAGGATTGAAATCACAAAGACTTTGTTCTGTCATCTCATTGGAAATAAGCTAGAAATCAATAACAACAACAAAAACAAAAAACTAGGAAATATCCAAATATTTTGAAACTAAGCAGTATACTTCTAATTACCCCATGGCTCAAGGAGCAAATCTCAATGGAAATAGGAAATATTTTAAATGGGATGATAATGACAATGTGGCATATCAAAACTTGCGGTATATGCAGGAAGCCTTGTACAGGGGAAATCTATAGCTTTGTATATTAGAAAAGAAGAAAGTCTGAGCTAAGTCTGTCTCA